TATTGAGGGTATATACACTTTGATACGGTGAAAATGTGCCTCATCGAAATATTGGTTTTAGATCCCATGTTTCTTTGGACCAAATCCGTTTCAGAAAATTTGGAGTCGATTTACGCATGACCGCCTGTCTGGCTGGTGCGCACAATAACTCTCCAAGGGAATAATTGATTTAATCCAAACTTTGCGCTTAATATTTTTCCAAAGTTAGTTAAAGTTCGAAGACGGTGAATATTGGTCCACTCCTTCTGGTACCTCCCCCACAAAATGGTAAAAATTGTGCTAAAAACTAAGTTTATAATAACACGTAAACGGACTATCCTATTTTAACGAAGCTGTGTACAACCTATTATCTTCACCAAGCCTAGATCAAGTAGGAAGATGGGACCCATTGGTCCACTCCTTCTGGTACCTCCCCCACGTATAGTAAAAATTTTCAATATTTTTAAATGCAAAATCAGGCGAAAAAATTTTATCAACATTAAATCCGAAACCTCTTTGTTAAAAACATATTTCTTATATAAAGCTAATAATATAATCTGTAAGTAATTCCGAAGACTTCCACAAACCATTGGCTGGGGGTATATATCTGTAGGCAACACCGACTGACACTTTTTTACTTGTTTCCAATGAAAATCCAAAATATCAAATTATAGCTAAATCGGTTGGGGACACATATATCCCATTTTCAATACCATCCTAGGAATATTAGCAATGTGCAGAATTTCAAAGATATGTCTTCAATATTGCGAGCTATATATACATGGCTATATCGAAATAGAATTTTATTCTGATTATGAATAAATAGGATATCAGGTGAATATTTCCAGGTCTTGCAAGCAAATTTTAAGAAATACAGATTTCATTATTAGCTATAAACGAAATTCCTTCTATAAACTTTTTAGCACTTTTATTTGGCACTTTTTTTAATTTTTTACTCTTCTTTCTTTTTTACACTTTCTAGCATTTTTTAAACAAAATCTAGTATTTTTTAATGACAAAGTTTTGGCAACACTGGTTACAACAAACAAATGAAGAAATGTAACAAGGGAAACAAACAGGGAATGGAACACGGAATACGAATAAGAAAATAAATTGTATTATTTATCACAAAACTCACTTCACCAATTAGCACAGACAAATCAAAAATAGATTTTAAACACTGTTAACACTTTTTAAGATTCACAAACGGGTTAAAAAAACACAAAATAAATATTTTTAATCAAAAACAGGAGCACGACAAAAATTTATCAACAATCACGACAGGGTTGCCAAATAGAACCATGGGTGAAGTATTCAACACATTTGCAAACCATCCGATACATTATTTCATATAATATATTGAAATCCATTAAAAAAACTCCTATGACTGTTTGTTGATCAGTACGAGCTGATGTTTTTCGCGGCCTCCCTCCGTGGCGAACTATACTTCCTGACATGTTGCATAAAATCAACTTATAATTCGAGTAATCACGGGTCTATTTATGGAATATTTCTTTGAAATAGTATTCTGTGATACTTTTTGTTTTCACAATTACTGGTAATTAGCTATTTTATCGTACTGTATTTGTTTCTAGCCATTTTTATATATTTTTTGGCAGTGAATCAAATTTTTGTAATAAATTAAAATTTTATTGTACTTAAATTTACAAGAATCGAAATAGGTGTAGAAACCTAAACATAGTACAGTCAACGCCCGGTATAACGAATGATATATTGTCAGACCCATTCGTTATATCGCGACGTTTTTTAAGTTGCAGTTTTATCACAAAAAAATAATAATTAATTTTTCAGTTTGTTACTAACAAAAAATATAATAATTTACATAATTACAATAATAAAATGTTTGCATATTTTTTTTATAAGATAAACTCATTATTTTTTTTTTAGTTTTGTCCTAGATTTTCCATGCATTATTACTTATTTAAAAATAAGTACTCCTTTCTAAAGCTGAAAAAACCAATAAGATATGTTCATTTTTTAATAAGTTATACGGCATTTATTATGTTTGTAATTTCAGTTGCTTTAGTTATGACCACCAGTGTATATAAACTGATTATTTAATTATCGAGGAAATTGTTTTCTTGTCGTTATTTTGTCTTATAAAGTTTGATTGGTTCAATTTTGATAAAAGCATACAGAAAATATATTTTAGGTGCCATAAATTATCTCCTGAAGATCGCGTGCTAAAGTTTCGGATACGGGGAACAGACATTTATACTATATTTCGCTTAATAATAATAGTTCACATAATAAGAATATATGGAACAATTTTGAACAGAACGATTATGTGTGTACTACATTCGCAAATTATTTGAACTGTTCTGCAATTAAATTTTTTAAACTTTCAAAGTCGCTATAAACCTCCTACACATGGTTGTTATAGTATCAAAATTTAATTGGGTTATGAACCTGCTATATGTAGGATGAACTCCAACCGGCTAATTGTTAATCCCACAAAAATACAGGCTTTGGTTTTTCCCAGTTATGCTCACTCTAATTTGTCGCTGACTTATAACTGTCAAGTTATTAATATCGTCAATAGCATAAGATGCCTTGGCATAATTATTGATGATAAACTAACATTTGACAGCCATATCGACAACGTTGTAAACCACACACATTTAGCATTACGCCAACTGTACAACACTGATTTAATTTTACCTCGCAATGTACAGTTACAACTGGTACATTCTCTAATTATGTCTCACATATTATATTGTAATGAAATTTTCTCCGGTACAACTAAAACGAATATGAAAAAAAATCAAAATGTTGATTCACCGAGTGGTTCGTTATATTTATTCACTTAAAAGGCTTGATCACGTAAGCCCGAAAGTAAAACTATTCCTCGGCTGCTCTTTTTGGCGATTTATAGACAGCAGATCATTAATGCTGTTCAATAATGTTACTAAAGAAAAAAATTCCCGATTTTCTATTGCATATGTTTCACTTTTGTCGTTCAAGCAGATCCACTCAATTAATAGTTCCCAGAGTTATCGGCTTTATGAATAAATCATTTCATGTGCGAATCGCTAGAACTTTCAATAGCCCTCCCGATTCTCTAAAGAAATATTCATTATCAAGCAGCACATATAAAACAAAAATCATAAACCACTTCGGTTTCACATAAATATACGCATAACATAAATAAATAAATGTATAAGCCTTCCACAATATCGTTGAAAATTAAAATTGGGCATGCTAATTTGATTGGCAATTTCATTAAAATTGGCCTTTGATGCTTCTAATTGCATTTTTTGAAATAAATATATTAAAATCATAATGCTATGTTAAAAATGTAACATACTTTTAAAACACACAAATTTCAAATTCGATCTTGTATATTACGTTATTACTTGCTTCATATTGAATATGTACGTGTAGTCATTTAAAAATCTTCATACTATTATATGTTCAGGTTGTCATACCTTTATAAGATATAGTCATTAAGATTTAATTATTACATGGAGTAGTATGGTTTGCAATTTATGTAAAATCGGTCTTTGAGGCTTCTAATTGCATTTTTGAATGAAAAAATAAATGTTCAATTCAAAAAAAAAAAATCGTAGCAACATTTTACAACCGATTTTATATATTCCGGATTTATACCGTTCTTGCTATTAGTTCGTATATGTTTTCGAATTTTTTTACGATTATCCTATTCTGACCACATACTCTGACTCACCAAATTCGGTACAGCCGTTCTTAAATTAAGAACGGAGTAACTGGCAACACTTTTATATATAGATAATATTTTTTAATCAGGATACTGACCTTTTATATTACCAATCTAATATTAAATCTACAGGAAACATAGTATATGTATATTGAAACCTATACAGTGAACATCTCTTTAGCCCTTTTTGGGAAGAGAATATGTGTGAAACACACAAACAACATATACATTGAAACAAATATTTTATATTTATAAATAGTTTTCTCACAAACACATTTACTATTGTACTAACTAATCTGTATACTTAATTCCACTTTACTGCACTCGGTGTTGCGTATGGGATCTTTAGCCTACCATATTCATTCATAAGTTGTTCGATTGCGAATATTTTTTGGTTAAATTCTGATGTCGTGTAACAATTAGGAAATTCGCTCATACATTCCGTACATACGATTCCTATTGTTTGCTTATAATTTTGTATCCATGTGCTAGGCACTTTCGGCGGAAAATTAAACAATTTATCGAAGCAAAATCATTTTTGAGAACAAATGCGCCTTCATGCCTTCCAGGTCAAACGTGTATATGCAAGAAAACAAATTGTAATTTTTCGATGTTCTATTTTTTATGAGAGAACACATTATTGTGCTGAGAACAAAATGTTGCAGTCGTTGCTATTTTAAGATCTTGAGTGTGCCTCTGTCTCTACGTTGGGAAATGTTTGAGTTCAGTATTTATTTAGCCACTGGCGGGTAGACATAAATACAAAGCATTCATGTCGTTGTGAAATACGGAGGGAGGAAGATATATTTACTTGTGTCATGTATCATAATGACTTTTATTCGGGTTCTACAAATCAGCATAGGGAACCCAGACAAAGATATGTTTTTAGGACCAATGCAAATAAAAAGACTCATCTAATAAGGTCAGATAGGCCCAGATATTACCGCGGCAATGATGTCGTCATAGAGGAACGCCGCCATTCTTTGGACGAAGTTGAAGACGAACCTGTGCATGAAAAATTACGTCGCGGTGTTGTATATACATCACCACATAAAAATATTCAACATGACATGGCACACGTCTCATACAGAAGATTTGTCGACGACGATGAGTATATTGATGATCAGGTCCAAGAAGATATCACGGAAGTCATTGATACAAATAATGTAGTTCGAAATTTAACAACATTCGGTAGATTTTTGGAAATGTTACAAGGGATGCCCTTGCCACGACTTTCACTCACAACATCGTGCATATTTTTCTTGATTGCCATATTCATATCGCCAAGACCCTGTGCTCAAAATATTATATTTCCTGCTTTCAGATTGTCCTTCGGCACATTGTATCCCGCTTATGCCTCTTACAAGGCCGTCCGCACAAAGAATGTCAAAGAATATGTGAGTATTGGTAATCAATTTGTCAGATTTAATAAGACTATAATGCAATTCTCTTTGACATTTCAGGTCAAGTGGATGATGTATTGGATTGTTTACGCATTTTTTACGTGCACAGAGACTTTCACCGATATCTTCCTATCATGGTTTCCATTTTACTATGAGGTTAAAGTGGTTATTGTACTTTGGTTGCTGTCGCCAGCCACAAAAGGCAGTTCTACACTGTATCGCAAGTTTGTTCATCCAATGTTGACACGCCGTGAACAGGTGCGCCGCTATTCTACTTTCTCGTAGAAACGATTATAAAAAAGATTTGCAAATAACATGATCTCTTGTACACTGTTCTATAGGAAATCGACGAGTATCTCAACCAAGCCAAAGAACGTGGATATTCTGCTGTATTACAATTAGGTTCTAAGGGTGTCAACTATGCCACAAACGTTATTATGCAAACCGCAATAAAGGTAAATAATATATTCTTCCGATTTCTCACACAATATTTGCATACTGCCATGTTCATCACTTTTCATGCTAACCCAGACCAATGCATTCCATTTCACATGTCACATAACAATTTTCTTTCATTTTGTTAGACTCGGTTTTAGTGTTTGCATAGAACACCTCATTTGGCATTCATCATGCGATGACTTGTTTCGATAAAATGAACAACAGATATAGTTTTTTTAAATTTGTTTGCTGTTAATGTATATTTTTATTTTTGTTAACAACAATAAAATCGACATATTTTAATGTATAAGAAATGTATTTTCTTATTTATTTTAAATGCATTAATACACCTGGATGCGAGTTAAAAAGGATTCATTTTGTAAAAAATTGACCTTTGGACTCCATGAATATTATTGCGTAAAATACATGGAGCGCAGCATTGTATTTTCACAGAACATTTTATTTGTTTTATATGTTTTTTCTTTTGAATTAAGTTAACTTTTTGTTGCTTTCTTTTCATTTTCAATCGTCATTAACTGACAATACCATTGCGATATACACTGGTTAATCTGAACACTTGATTGATTGCACGTGCACGCTAATAACAGACTTTTCATTATGGCTTAAATTCATCAAATAACCCAGAGCTACGAATGTTACCAACGTCCCAGTCTGACGATGCCATATACACGCGCAGTGTGTACAATGGCCGTGATGAAAGAGACTCAAATGAGGAGTCCACACAGTGGGTCCCGCGATCCAATTCGCTGCACACTATGACAACAATGCATGTAGAGTTCTCCGAGGATGAAGAACGTCAATGCGAAGAAGAAATTTCAGAGGAAATTGTAACCAACGAAGAAAATGGAGCAGCGCGTATTCGCGATCTACCTACAAGGAAAACAAAAACCAAAGACACATCTGTCGCAATTCAAACACGTCCAAAAGTAGTTGCAAGTGGAAAAACGACAGCAGCTGGAATACGTAGCCGTCGAAAACTACGTGAACCCACACCCGAAGTAGACATAGACGTGGAATAACAAATTTATAGTTCTTAAAGATATCTGCGATAATGTGCTATGCCATAATATTTTCTCACCAAACTACATATACTCAATTTTACTTTTAATTATTGCTTCAGTTTGTACTAATGATACATTATTTAACACTCCAATTAAAATTGAAATTTCAATACATATATAAATATCTAGAAATTTAACTTTGAATGTGTCAATCCTTTACTTGTTTATACATTTGAAATTAGGGTGGCGGTAATCTGGTGCAGACTATTCGTCGAAGTTACAGTTTAAGTGATCTCTCCGAACCAGATATTCACCGTACTCAGGATGAGGTTTGTATAAGAGATTATAAGAGACGTGTATAAGATACGCCATAACTTAAGTTATTACAGGTCGATGACATTACAAATACGCGACCTCAGCAACGAATGTTACGACCACGTCTCAACACACCAGTAGGTAGATCAGCTTCTGGATCTCGTCACTCTACGGGAATGTATTTTACCGAGGTTGATGTCACTGCTAAAGGTTCTGGGGATTTTAAGTAAGTAAATTTATATTAATCGAAGTTAATATAAACACTATATATATGTTTACAGTTATAACATTCGATCTTCGGATGACATTAGTTCGGGCTATTCAAGTGCTGAACCAATTGCTGGAGGTTTAAGTCGTACGTCATCTATGACAAATGCGTCCAAGACACGCCTCAAGGCTAAGCGATCTGAGGTAAGCTCATTGTAATTATAACTGAAATCATTGTGTCTAATGGTTGTGGTTGAAAATAGTAGTGTCTTCTGAACTATATTACCGTCTATTTTTCTTACGGTGTATTTTAGACAATGTATTAATAAACATTTAACACGGATTTGTCACTCAAACTCAAACTTTATTAAGGTCATACTGGAGACTAATTCAGATCTAAATAATTTTACTACCAAGCGTATTTGTTTCCCCAAAATTAAAAGCCAAACAAAAACTAAAGTATTTTAGCTACGTTTTAAAACATTTTAAAAAGTAAAGCTATCGACATTTTTAAGTCTTATCTCGAAAGAGAAATAAATAATCTTTAGCCCTAACAAGACATACAACTCGAAATATATTATTATTTGTAATCTATTTAATGTTTACGAGTTGTATTGAATAATAACATTCAGTGGCAAACAAAATTGACATAAAAGCCACAAAGCGCTTACTCACGCGTCTTCAAATATATATGACTTTAGTCATTATTGATAATAAGGAATAAATTCTGTGACCATTTTGAACTATAAATATTCTTTACATAAAAAAGAAATTTCAAGCATTATTATTGCACTTTCAAAATTTCGAAATTTGCCCTGTCCTTTTTTGTGAAGAATTTTTTTGCGTCACTCATGCGACGTAACTCACGCGTCATTAGGAATATTTTTGTAATACATTTCACGCGTAACGCTGTTAACAGTGTTATGTAACAGTGTTATCAAATAAAATTATTGATATCTGAAAAAATTGTTTCATGTTTGCAAATAAGGTCATTGTCCATAACAGAAATACATTTGCTTACTGCATTAGACAAGGCTTATTATTTTACTTCTATTCTTAGTAAAAAAACAAATTAGGTACATTTAAATTCAAAAAGGAATTTGAAACAGGTATGGTCCAATCGGTAAAATTTATCAGCCGTAATTTGTTCGCCCTTCCCTTTAAAGTTATTCTGAAGAAAACAACTCGCAGCTATGTTTTTCGCATTTCGCATTTAAGCCGAGTTTGATGCAATTTGGTGGCGGAATTAAGACATATTGGGTGAGAATCTGTCTCTCCAGATTATGGAATTATGGAAAATGTATATATGGGAAATTACAAAATTCTTTTAAAATTTCATAAAAATTTGGAAAAATGTTTTTTTTTTTTTTTTTTTGTTTTAGTTATTGGTACATATGTTAAGAGAAATATGCTGATTCGAAATCTGTTCGCATTCACAAATTCGGATGCTGCGCTCAAAAGTTATAGCGGTTTTAAATCCAGTATTTCAAATATAAATTAAATGAATTCCTATTCGTTGTAATACGCGAATTTCTTCACAAATGGTTCATTTGTTTTCTTTGCATACTTGTCAAATAACATTGAAATACGGTGTATTTGATTTAAATTTGCCACACACTGTTTTAGGCAAGTTTTACATGATGTATCGCGTACATAGCGTTTTTGGATCATTATTTAATTTCGCTGACCATAAATATGACAACTGTATCGGAATCTTGACACATTTTGTTTATCATGTTCTTACAATTCTTTGAGCAAGACCGAAATAATGATAGAGCAATTTTTTTGATAATAATACAAAATAATATGTGAGGCAAGTAGACTACGATGCTACAAAACAGCTATAGTCACATATTTTATTAACAAATCTGGAACAGATATGTGTGAATTCATTAAAAATCATTTATGTTCTAAGAAGTTCATTTTTTTATGTTTCATATTAACACTCTCAGGTTGATTTTGGAGAATCTTCTTTTAAACCACATTCGAATGTTACAAGTACAATTGATATTGATTATCAAAAGATCGATGATGTAATACTATCAGATGTCTTGACCGACCATGAAGATACGGATGCAACTAGCGCCATTTATGAATCCGACGAATTCTTCGAAACTAAATCCAATGAGTCTGCTGATGATGATAACAAAGAACAAATTCCTCAACAATCTCAAACAGATGTTTCCATTGTAGAAAACAAGGTTAATATAATTCAATTACGATCAAGTCTTAAGGAAATCGAGGATAGTTTTAAAGCGCAGATTAATATGCCACCAAAAATTGAAATCCCTATTAAACGTTCGTATGTTCACAAAAAAGGCCAAGCACCAAGACCTCCCCAAGAACCAATTAATTTAACACCAAATGACCAACTCCTCCGAAGTGAACACACCACTATAAAGGAAACTGAAATATAATCTAGTTGGTAAATATTCATGGAAATATGCTCCCTGATCCAATCGTGTCTCCTACTCTGCATCAAGGCTCTCTCATTAACAATTAGCGTTTAATGTTTAATGCCTTACTCAAAAACAATGCAATATTTCGAGTTAATCGTCGTGTTTCTTCATACTAATTACCAAAAGCCATACTAATCATAATGTTTGAAGTGTCTCTTAAACGTTATTTTTTTGCATGAATTTTTCATTTTTTTAATTGCGTTTTTTTCAAAAATGATCATTGTTCTTATTGCCTTTCTTTTCAGGATAAAATGTCTGCTAGCTGTACTACATTACCTCGTAGCAAAAAAGCGGAAAAAGCGATGGGTACTACAACAACTACTGTGGCAAAAACTCGTAGCAGCAGACATGAGAAGTAGAATATTGGATACACCGTCTGTATAATTGCGTTCGATAAATAGAAAAAAGTGACGTTTAAGATACCATGCAAATACTTGTATAATCAGCTATAATTCACAATTACTCAAATAGACTGTTCGAATAATATAATTTAAATTATTAGTTAATCTATTTATTTGTTGAGCTCAGACACAAATACAAATAAATTCATTTGAAACACAATACCAGAAACTAATTGTCAAGTTCATTTAATTTAGAAAACCTGATTTAGTCCTTCGAACCATGAACCAACAACATTTAATTTTTATACCCTTCACAAAACATATGCACAAAGACATAATACCCTGTCTTTGTGCATATGTTTGTAACAGGCAAAAGGAATCGAGATAGAACCATGGTTCCTTTTGAGAATATGCATAGAATCACTTTCTGAGTCGATTTACGCATGTCCGTCTGTCCGTCCATGTATTTTTGTGAACAAAGTACAAGTCGCATTTATTATCCGATTTGGATGAAATTTGGCACAGCTCACTTATTTGGCCCAAGGACGAATCCTATTGAAATTGAGAAAAAATCGGTTCAGATTTAAATATAGCTCCCGTATATAGTTTCGTCCGATTTAAGGTAAATGGGGCACAAAAGTCCTTATATATCTCTCGATTTCGACGAAATTAGGCACAGAGTACATAATTAGGTCCAGAATGATGTGTGCAAAGTTTCGTGAAAATCGGTTCAGATTTAGATATAGCTCCCATATATAGTTTTGTCCGATTTTATATAAATTGCGCACCAAAGTCCGTATATCACGAATTCCATGTCACGCACTGTTACAGCGTGCGAAATATAATCGTTTGTTTAGTTAAGAAAATTTTGTTTCCGAAATTTCTTTTGCAATTTTTATTAACTAGTTTTACGCTCTTTACAATACTTGCTAATTTTTTTATGAATATGTTTATAAATTTCGAAGTTATTAAGAAAAATTTAGCGTACGCACGCGTTACAAAATTTTCCCTTTAAAAATTGGATATCAGTTTCGATATGAAATTTTTGCAAATTGGCTGGAGATAAAATTGCGGATTTTTTTACAGCTATAATGGGTTATTCTAGATTATATTGACTTTTTATTTTTTAGGAAAAAAATTTCTAACATATACTTTTTTAACTTTGAACACCGTCACGCACATGTTACACACGTAACGCACTGTTACACACACATGTATTAAAAAATTAAATTCAAAACAGAATGTTTTAACAATGCTAATTCTTATACCCCACACAACTATGTTGTCAGGGTATTATAGCTTTGTGTGGCCCCAAGACCTTTAGTAAATCATTATGCAGTTGTGGACGAAATTTTTGCCTGTAAATCCTGTTCTAAATCAACTTATTGAGGAAGAATGTAACATGTGCGTGACGGATACAAAATTATTCAATGGAGATAGAAGACAAACTTTGTTTTATTTGAGTTTGTCATCTTAAGATCCACACATAACAGCATTATCAACAAAAAAATTTCTCATATTAGAGTCTGTATAGAAACATATGTTAATTTTGTCACGCACGCGTTAAATATTTTCTTACACTATTTAACTGCACTTTCCACGGGATTCTGCTGTTATATATATAGATTTATATATGTAATTCTTAGTAAGATATTACTTTATTTGAATTTTATATTTATTATTTATATTGTTTTAGCTAACAGTGACAAATGACACTATAAAACTAATAAATATATGCCCAAGTTATCCTCCACGCGAAAATGGGACAACAAAAAGGAAAACTACTGTTATTTTTCAAAATTCAACTAAAAATATATTGTCCGGATTGCAAAGAATATTTCCTATATAATTTCTTATCTCTCTTAACGAATTGATTTTTCACCTATGCGGCTGACCTTTTTGTGGAATTCGTGATATATCAATCGATATGCACGAAATTTGGTACAGGATACTGAATTGATTCTAGAACGATGTGTGCCAAGTTTCGAGAAAATCGGGTCAGATTAATATATAGCTCCCATATATCTTTTCGTCCGATTTAAGATAAACGGGGCACCAAAGTCCATATATATCTTTCGATTTACAGGAAATTTTGCATAGCGTACTGGATTAGGTCTAGAATGACGTGTGCCAAGTTTCGAGAAAATCGGTTCAGATTTAGATATGACGTGTGCTAAGTTTCCTGAAAATCAATTCACAACTGTACAAACAACTGTTCTTAAAACCCCCCTTAGTATTGTTTGCCTTTTTCACATGGTTATAGTCTCACAAAGTAAAAGTCTCAAAAATTATCCAATTTTTCATAGAAAATTGTATGCTATGGTGAATAAAAAATAATCTATCGTCGTCGACACAAAACGACGTCGAACAGATTCGTCTTTTGCAAATTGGTATTCCCTATGTCGTTGTCGACATAGGTCGATAACTATTGAAACATTTTTGGTATTCCGTAACAATGTTTGACGACGACGATATCGAAGATTTCTTCGTCATAATTTTTGTTGACGACTGAAGTGTTTGAACAATTTTTTTTAAGAAATTAAAAAACAAAAAACATGACCGGACAAGAACAGGATACATTATTCTAGAATCAATTCAATACGTAATGCAAAATAAAGAAAAATATATGAGATCTATATATAAATCTGAACCGATTTTGACCAATATCAATAGGACTCGTCTATGTGCCAAATAAAATTTCATCCCAATTGGATGGATTTTTCCAAATTTCATCCTGTTCGGATCATAATAGTGGCATGTAACTTGTTTAAAATAATACATGGATGGAGGGACATGCATAATTCGACTGAAAAATAATTCTATGTATATACTAAAAAGTAACTATGGGTCTATCTCGTTTATTTTTGGATGTTGCAAACACATGTACCAAAACATAATACCCTGTGCCATAGTGCGATGAAGGATACAAACACATTTTTGCACAAAATAAAGTGTAAATAAAGAAAAATATATGGAATCTATATATAAATCTAAACCGATTTTGACCAATGTCAATAGGACTCGTCTATGTGGAAATAAAATTTCATCCCAATTGGATGGATTTTTTCCAAATTTCATCCCGTTCGGATCATAACGGTGGCATGTAACTTGTTTAAAATAATACATGAATGGAGGGACATGCATAAATCGACTGAAAAATAATTCTATGTACATACTATATACTAAAAAGTAACTATGGGTCTATCTCGTTTCTTTTTGGTCGTTGCAAACACATTTACCAAGACAAAATGCCCTGTGCCACAGTGCGGTGAAGGATACAAACACATTTTTGCCCAAAAATATGCAACAAAATTTTTGTTTTTATTGATATTATCGATAAATAGTCGACATCGTCGCATGAGTGTTACAGAATACCAAATCAGTGTCGAAGTGATGACGATGCGAAGGGATGTCGTAAGAGAAACGTCGTCGACAACGACGACGACATACGGAATAGGGGTGATTATAATGGGGCAAACTTCGAAACTTCGATTTTTTTAACTCTTCCCTGTTTATACAAAATAGGGGGATCGAGCGAAAGTGGCATTTTTTCGCATATGAAATCACTCCCTTGCGTTTGTCCAGAATACGGTTGCATATGTCATTCCATGCCTCAATTGAGCCACCGTAATATGCATCTTATAAGGATGATTTTACTATTTTGAGTTTATTATTAGATATAACATAAATCGCAGGTGTCCAACCAAAGTGATTTATTGTATAATATAGTTGGTATTTATCACAATATATATTACAAAAGAAATTCAGGAGTAGGTCGTTAACTTACCGAAAAAATATTCATTTTTTCCACTACAGGTCTAAAATAAATGCAGTTTTAATCTGTAAACAGAAACGCGCGCAAACCGAACCATAGTTTTTTTCGAAAATATTAAATTATTTCTTTGTTTTATAAAATTATATTTATTATTAAAGATATTGAATAAAAAAGTACGCAAACATTAACATATTTTCAGGATGACTTCATAGCCCAGCTATACATCCATCGTGTATGCCTATACAGGTAACTGCTCCATGATTCTTGCTCTTCTTTTCTACTGCTTTCCATGAGTGTTTTTTGGTGATTCCATTCAATAAGTAAATCGGACACCTTCTCTTCCAATGCCTTCACGGTATTTACAGCATTTTCATCCAAGGTACGTTGACTAAAAAACATTTTCTGGTGGTATGTGTGCATGAAGATGGAAAATATCAGTGCTATGAATGAACTCGCCACGGTACCAACTATACTCATAATTTTAATGAAGTTTGTGTGAAGTTTCTCTTTCTCATACGAAGCATTAATAGCGGCTGAGAATTCAGTAAACAACAGCTGCTCCTTCTTATCCGCCAGTTTATACAAATCAGAATAATGTTTTTCCGATTCACAAAGCTATTTGAAAAATAGTTATAAAGAACATAATTATGTTTTATTAATAAAAGTTTTTTTACACATTTGTACGTTTTTAAGTAGTTTTGCCGTAAAACACAGTTGGAAAGATAAAAAGCGTTGTCGCTTATCGAAATTTTTTGCATTAATATGAAAAATAATTTTATAATCTTCTACAATAAGGAACAATTTAACGATACAACAACCACATGGAAATGTCTTGTAAAAATTACCAGTGTCAACGTGAAAAACATAAAATTTATATTTATTCGCTTCTACATCATTCCTTTAATTGAGCCATTGCCAGTTATACATGTTTGACTGTATAATTAAACACAAATATTTTATCTCAGAGGCCTCATGAACTATTTTGATGTTCATATTGAAGGCTAAATTAAACTAGGTCTTCTCTTGCTGACAATTTTTTAATCGCGAAATACCAACTAGAACAGGATAAAATATCAAAAAACCCCGGTTATTGTGATTTGATTTATATAAATACATGCATGGTATAATTATTACAAGGTAGGGCACAGTTACCAACTGATTACAATTTTTTCTCAGGTTGGCTTGTTCCATCAAATCAAAATATTTATTTATTGTTTTGAATACAATGTCAAATAAATTCAAAATTAATTGAAATATATTCAAGTTTAATTGAAATGAAAATGATGTTTTTACCACGTTCTTCTGGAAGTAATTACTTTGTTATGGATGAAACAAACATTTTATGGTATTTCTTACTGGATTTTGGGAAGAAATCCTAACCTTTCATTTACTTTTCGCGTTTTTAGTTTTGTTTTGAAAAAATGTCACGTGCATAGTTGATTTTTTGTTATTCACCTCAACCTGTCATACCTTGTATAATTGTACCATGAATACATGTGTTCTACTTTTGTGGCAAATTTTAGGTAGGTTTATTATTTATCTAATTGAAAGGGTTTCATTTTAAAAATCAAAACTATTTTAATTTTCTTCATGCCATGTCAAAAACATATAGTAGTGATACAAATGTGGTATAGGTTGGTAAAAAAAGTGAAAATTATACTATACCACATTAACATCATATGGTGTACCACATTACCTGCACTTTTTTAAAATCACTTTTAATGGAATTTTGAATATTTTCTCAAATATATTTTAAATTGTTAGTACGATATTATTTTAAAATTGATACATGCAAAGAAAACACATGTAAAATGATAATTGTACAATTTCAATTTAATCTGAATAGCCTGCCGTTTTTTTTTTTTTTTTTTTTTTTTTTTGTTTTTGTCCACAAAAAACATCAAAAGCATGGTAGAGTTATACAAGGTAACTGTGATACTCCGCTAATTTGATTCCAATACTCGTGTCAATTTCGATATGACAAATTATTCTTTTAAAAGTGACCCAGCAGGAAAATTGTGTACGCATTAGATTCGAAATTATTTTTCATTCAAAGTACTTCCATATTCATTTTAGTTTATTTCTTACTGGAGAAATTTGAAGCACTATATCTTTTTTCATAAAATAATTCCCGATGTGTGTTACACATACAACTGGCAATGGCTCAATTACAGGAAATCTATGGAAGCGATATAATTATATATTCGATAGATTTTCATTATGTTTTTCAATTTTATTCTGAAAATTAAAAACAAGTTTGCATTTTGAAAATTTATTGATATTTCGTATGTTTTGAGCTCGTATGTCTTAAGCCCAGAATCGCACTACTGGATTTTTTTTTCGTACTCAAACAATTTCGATTTCAAAACAAAATAAACAATATAAATTTAATTTTTGTGAAAATTTCGACGACGGTCGTCTTTAAGGACATGTACGGGTCGTTAAAGTTCCCTCAAAACAATTAATACACAGAATTGATATGTTCTATGTTCCAGATGTGTTCCTTTATTAAAACTTGGCTAGCTAGCCTTTCAGAATTACTTCGAGGTACCGGTTGGGTAATACATTAGTGAATATGGAAATTACATATAATTTAATGTAAACCATACTGTAACTTTGAAACCCTACCTTCTAAAATTGATTCCAACTTATTACAAGACTACTACGATTATTCGCGCGATACTGTAGAAACAACCAACAAAAGACATACCTCAATTTCCTGTCGCGCTAATTCCAAATACGTCTCCTTTGTCCTATTAATTTTCATATCTTTATAAATATGGTTCAGTTCGTTTCTAATATCTTCCAGCTTGCGCATTAGCGAACGTTTCTCCTCACCAGCAGCAAGCAATTGCCCCTATAAAAGGAATTGTAACTTATGGTTGTCGTGATATTATGTTGAAAACTTCAAACCTTTATACTCATCACATGAGCTTGTGAAATTCTTACTTCCTCCATATATGTAGCCTTTTCCACATATGTAACCAATCGTTTCAGAAGTTTTTCCTCGTCGCCTTTAGATTCATTTCCACTTGTTGTAGATTGATAAAGTGATACAGCCCGCCGTACCCCAAATGTGGTTTCATAATATGAGATTTTATGAACTTTGCTATTGTAAATATTTCGCCGGCATATGAGCGTGCGAATCATGTTTTGGAATTATGAGCAATATGGATACCCAATCCGTCTTTCCAATAACTTCGATTACTAAAATATATGGAAAATAGCAAACTCCTTCAATTTTATTTTACTTGTTTTTTATTCAATGATACATATTATCTGAACTATGTGGGTTTCGATGGATACTTCAATGTAAGATTCATAATATCCAAATAAAAAGATTGTTGTAATCAGAATCAAGTCCTTCACCTCCCTAATTGTATTGTTCCAAAGCAGATTTTATAAGGTAGCCGCATCAGCAATTACAACACACAACTGTTTAGTACAATAATTTTTTTTTTATTATTATTTTCCAAAAATTCATTCAGAAAATATTAATAAATGTAATAACGATCAGATATTCAAAATTTGCAGATTTTCATTTATAATTATGTTTCAATTATTCGGTTTTAAATTACAAGAAATTTTTTGACATTTATGTGTACCAACAGCTGTGCTGATGCGGCTACCTTATTAAATCTGCCTTGTATCATTCCGAAATAAGTGGTTCAATGAATGATTCACCGAAAAAGCAACGATGATCTAGTATTAGTCGTCCAGGAAGATCAGCTGTTTCAAAATATTGCTGCCAAAATACATTACTGTGAACTGAATCCACAGTATTGAAATAGTATAGATATTAGGTATGTTCGTTTACTCAATAATTTGTACAAATAGTTACTGTATTTTGATTTTGTACCATTAAACATTAAAATTGATAAAGATGGACTAAAATTAACAATTTGTACAAATTATCGAATAAACGAACATACCTATTACTAGATAAAATTTGACAGATGGTCGGGTAAAAAAATGTTTTTTTTATTCATCACCGTTTTTTGTTTTAATTTCATTTAGTGCTCTTCTTATTATCATTTAGTACTCTTCGTAAACATAAACACTATTTTTCGAAATTTCTTTCTTATTTCCATAACAGATTCAAACGTGATCAGAATTCTAAAAATTTATTTTAGTAACGATCTACAGGTACCAAATTTAATTTAATTCAGCACTTTTCGAACACAAAAGCATACATTTTCAAGACTACCTCTATATATCAAACGTACTTCTAATTTAACTACATTTAGTATCACCCATTTTTACGAAGTAAGTACACTTCAACATTCATTTTAAATCCCACTTTCAAGATATGTGTTCACCTATATCCAAATTGAACCAAAACTACCTCAATTCCAAAATTGAGACAAAATAAAATTTACCAAATTTAGTACCGTTTATGCCACATAAGTATGCATTTAAAAAACTATTTCCATATCACAGTTCTACATTGCACAAGTTACCATTATTCCAATATTTACGTTTCCAGCTCTCTGCGTTACCAAAAACCATATTTAGTGAATTTCGTCCTATTTATACAGATAAATTCGAATTTGCAAAGCTGTCTCCATAGCTCAATCCTACACTTCAACAGTAATCTATATTCTAAATCTCAGGATTCCAGCTCTATCCATTCACCCAAATCCCAATTGGACCATATTTAGTACCATTTAGTACACAAAATTACAAATTATCCATATCTCAATCCTGCACTCTAACAGTAGTTTTCCAAATTTCAGAATCTCTATCTGTTCACACAAATCCAAATTATATCATATTTTGTACCATTTAGTACTTTTCGTATACAAAAGTACGATTTTTTAAAGCCACCTCAATCCTGTATTCCAATGGTAATCCTAATACCTATTTTCGGGATTCATCCCTATAGGCTCAACTAAATGCAAAGAGTACCATGTAGTACTTTTCATACACATAAGTACGAATTTCTAAAACCATTTCCATACATCAACACCACTTCCTGACAACGAGGCGTACAAAAATATTTACCTTCCCCACTATGGCAAAATTTTTTGTACGGCCGTATTACCCATGGTATAATTATTACAAGGTAGGGCCCAGCTACTAACTGATTACAATTTTTTCTCAAGGTGGCTTGTTCCATCAAATCAAAATACATATTTTGTGTATGTGTGTGTAATGTTTTGAATACTATGTCAAATAAATTCAAAATAAATTGAAAAATATTCAAATTTAATTGAAATGAAAATTATGTTTTTAACATGTTCGTCTGGAAGTAATTACTTTGTTATGGATGAAACTTTCATTAATTTTTTCGCGTTTTTAGTTTTGTGTTGAAAAAATGTCAAATAAACACAAACACTTGTTGCGTATATTTATTTTATTTTTGGCAGAAGAGGCCACACGTACATAGTTGATTTTTTGTTATTCACCTATTGTACCATGGTATTACCCAAATACGTCGAATGCTCTCAGCAAACTAATCCAAATCGCGAAACAAAATTAAAATATTCTAAAAGGTGTTAAAATATTTCTTTTTGATAAAATTATGTTTGTCCAAATTTAGATTAGGCGAGTTTACTTGCGGCAAGTCTTTGTTTGTTGGAGAGAGGGGCAAGGGGTATAGAAATTAAAAAAATTGCTCGTACCGATAATTTTCTGGCAATTCGTTTTGTGTATTTCGTATTTGTTGACATTTTATATATATTTAAATGTAAAAAAAAACAAATAAAAAATTTTTTTGGAAACCGAATTGCCTTGTATAGACGCATGGAGCAAGTTCAAAAGACAACGATAAAAATTGCCGCAAGTAAACTCGCCTAATATAAATTGAATAAATATAAATATAATATAAATCAGGACTTTTCTTTATGTTTTGTTTCTATTTTCATGGTATAATAATAGAAGGTAACAGCAAGTGTTGTTGTACAAAAAACGATACAACAACCACATGGAAATTTGTTGTTGTAAGTTCTACTAGTGTCAACTCATTTGACAGAAAAATGTAAACAAACAAACAAATTATCATCAAATTATTTTTATTTTGAAAATGAAATATTTTCGAATCCTCAAAATAAAAATTGAAAAACATGAATGAAAATCTTTCAAATTTATATTTCTATCGCGTCCACATCTTTTCTTTTAATTGTGCAATTGCCACATATATGTATAACACATATGAAAATGCTGGGAATAGCGAGTTATTCCTTGAAGAAAGATTTGCTTCCTGAAACTTTCCCAGCAGGCAGATTGAGTAAATTGAAAACTGGAGCACATTTAATAAAGAACAATTTCAAATTGTATGCGTTCCCAATTTTCCTGTTGGGTGATTTTTAAAAACATAATTTGTCAAATTCATATTGACACTAGTATTACGTTGGAATCAAATCAGCTGGGATTTGCTGTTACCTTTTATAATTGTACCATGTTCTATTTTCAACAAAGGAAAAAACAAAACTACATTTTGTCATAGTTGAAAATTTTCAACTTTAAAACTTCGTACGTCGACGTATTTCGGTAACATTCATATAAATACATGTGTTCTACTTTTGTGGTAAATAACGTCGAACGCGCTAGTCAAATTTTAGGTAGGCCTGTAATGTACAATTATTCATAGCAACTCATAAATTAAATTGTTTTCATATTGTGGCTTGTTATGCCGAAGTCGCATACAAAATAGTTCCAGAACCTAAAAGAATCTACAAATTTTACAAGATTTGCAACTTGTTACTTTAAAACCAAATTTAAGAGAAAACAAATAAAAATAACTTTCCCCTTGTGAACTTTTTACTCGAGTTATTTGAACGAGTACAAATGGTAAACAGGTTTGAAGTATTGCCATCTAATTTTTGCATATTTACTAGATTTGCGTTCCCGAACTTTTCAAATTAGTTTGTACTCTGAGAGCGATTTTGAAATGTTTCCCTATTAAAAATAACTGTGTATGTAATGTTTTGAAAAAATATAAATATATATATGGCATTTCCACATTAAATGAAACCTTTTACAAATTAAATGAACCCTTTTCCAAATTAAATGAAACCTTTTCCAAATTAAATGAAACCTTTTCCAAATTAAATGAAACCTTTTCCAAATTAAATGAAACCTTTTCCAATTGAAATGAAACCTTTTACAAATAGAATGAAACTTTTTCCAAATTAAATGAAACCTTTATTCTTATCTAAGAAAATATAATATTTGCAGTAATTTTAAACCAATATTTGAAAATTAAATCAAAGAATATTAACAAATATAGTTGTATGGCTATGTAATTAACATAAATATTCTTTAATTCGGTGTGATTTTATTTAATATCTTTACTACATAAAACTAAATAAATAGTAATACAAACTGGGGTATTTCTTGACATGTTAATAAATAAATATTTAAGAACAGGAATTGAATACCCGGTCCTAAATGCGAAATACATATTTGACTTAATAAATTGTTGATGATAAGGTAACTGCTTATCTTAATGAAGGGGTTCCCGACTTGCAGCTTGTGGGATTTTCAAAACCATGTCCATAACGTAGTTAGAACAATCTTGCCGAGTAAGCTTTTGAATACTTCGCTCGATTACATCAACCATGTTATGTTCCATTGAAACGTCACACAGCTCAGCTATTGCACATAATTTTATTTTTGAAAATGCATTTTCAATTGGATTTAGCATTGGAGAATAAAGCGGTAAGAATTTAAGGTTGCATCTTTTGGATTCGATCAAATTTTTTATGTCATGTCGCTTGTGTATTTGAGCGTTATTTTCCAACTCTGGATTGATTTTCTCAAAAAAAAATTCTATAAATAATTTAAATCTGTCTGCATTGACACTGGAATTAGAAACGATTGTGTAATGTACAACTCCCGCGTTGTTTATTGCTGCAATTATAGTGACATTACGACCTCTGACGGTAGGCAACACAATGTGTGCTATTGTTCCTTGTCTTGAACGGGCCTGGGTTCTTCGTATGTGAAGATTAAATCCACACTCATCAATGAATATTAATTTTTCTCCTTGTTGGGGTATCCATTTTGTAAAGTCTTGAGCATATTTTTGTCTCAAGCCTAATGTTCTGAAGTCATTCTTTCGTTCTATTTCAATAGAGGCAATCTTAAACGTAATTTTTAATTTCCGTAATCCATATTCTATGCAACTTGTGGAAATATTTATTTCATTTTCTCTCAACAGTTTAGTTTTTATGGCTTTGAGGGTAATTCCAGGTTGACTTTCCATATAGAACTCGATCAGACTTAAAACTTGTGGTGTCAACAACTTAGTTCTATCTCCTCCACGCTTATTTTCCTTCAATGTTCCAAAATTTTGTTTGTATCTTCTTATAAATGTTTTTTCGGACTTAACCTTCACATACGAAGAACCCAAGCCCGTTCAAGACAAGGAACAAGAGCACACATTGTGTTGCCTACGGTCAGAGGTCGTCATGTCACTATAATTGCGGCAATAAACAACGCGGGAGTTGTACATCACACAATCGTTTCTAATTCCAGTGTCAATGCAGACAGATTTAAATTATTTATAGACATTTTTTTGAGAAAGTCAATCAAGAAGTGGAAAATAACGCTCAAATACACAAGCGACATGACATAAAAAATTTGAAATTTGAGAAAGTCAATCAAGAAGTGGAAAATAACGCTCAAATACACAAGCGACATGACATAAAAAATTTGATCGAATCCAAAAGATGCAACCTTAAATTCTTACCGCCTTATTCTCCAATGCTAAATCCAATCGAAAATGCATTTTCAAAAATAAAATTATGTCCAAGAGCTGAGCTGTGTGACGTTTCAATGGAACATAACATTGTTGATGTAATCGAGCGAAGTATTCAAAAGCTTACTCGGCAAGATTGTTCTAACTACGTTATGGACATGGTTTTGAAAATCCCACAAGCTGCAAGTCGGGAACCCCTTCATTAAGATAAGCAGTTACCTTATCATCAACAATTTATTAAGTCAAATATGTATTTCGCATTTAGGACCGGGTATTCAATTCCTGTTCTTAAATATTTATTTATTAACATGTCAAGAAATACCCCAGTTTGTATTACTATTTATTTAGTTTTATGTAGTAAAGATATTAAATAAAATCACACCGAATTAAAGAATATTTATGTTAATTACATAGCCATACAACTATATTTGTTAATATTCTTTGATTTAATTTTCAAATATTGGTTTAAAATTGCTGCAAATATTATATTTCCTTAGATAAGAATAAAGGTTTCATTTAATTTGGAAAAAGTTTCATTCTATTTGTAAAAGGTTTCATTTCAATTGGAAAAGGTTTCATTCTATTTGTAAAAGGTTTCAGTTCAATTGGAAAAGGTTTCATTTAATTTGGAAAAGGTTTCATTTAATTTGCAAAAAGGTTTCATTTAATTTGGAAAAGGGTTCATTTAATTTGTAAAAGGTTTCATTTAATGTGGAAATGCTATATATTCTAAAATCCATTTTTTTAAATGAATTTTACAACATTGATATGATTTGTGGATTAATCAATATCTAAATCGTATTTCCAACTCGATTTTGAAAAGAAAAACTGACATTCCATTCATTTTTCGCGTTTTTTAGTAAAATGTTAGAAATCTGTCAAGCGAACAGAACGACTTGTTGCATTTGTTTCATTCTGACATTATAACACAACGTAGACTAAAGATACCCTATCTTGTATAATTGTACCATGACACTTCCACTTCCCATCATGTATTCCATATAAAATTTAATGATTATACATTCTTCCGCATTAAAAATAAATGACAAGGAATGTTTTTCTATACCCTCCACCATAAGGCGGAGTGTATATTAAATTTGTCTTTCCGTTAGCAACACCTCGAAATATTAAAGTATATATACATATATATTCGTGATCAAAATAAAATTCTATGTTATCGACTTATTCGTGTCCGCTTGACTGTCTGTCTATCTGATGATATCAATTTTTCACAATCTTTGTACTTGGAATCCTTGGGTGTTTGGTATTGCAAATGGGTTATATCGGTTTGGTGCAGGTTCAATCATTAAATATGTTCAAGGTTATCGTATGTATAAAGTATGTTGGGGAAAGGCTTTCGGAATGAAAATTATATTTAGCGCCTTTCATAAAGAATATTTCTATTGAATACAAGGAATATGTTAATAGTACTGCAAGAATCTACTATTTTTTACTACGATAACACTTTTTTCCTTTATGATATCGAAAAAATAGTAAAAACTCGTAGATTCTTGCAGTACGGGGACAGACCAAGTGTGTGATATTTACCAGCAATGTTCGACATTTTTAGTGTTTCTTGGAGTAAATCTCACGTAAAATCACTCTGAAAACCAAATACCTCGGAACTAAGCTTGATGTACAAAAACCACCATATTCTTAAAATTAAATCTCCACAGGAATTAACTCGGATTACAACCAAATATATACTGGTTGTACGACACAGATGTGCTCCCTACCTTTGGATGTGTTATTTGGCAAAAGAACGCTCTTGCCCAAAATACCTAGTGGTTCAAGGTTGTCCTAAACACAATCCCGAATTTCCAAAGCATTGTTTTTTCTGCTTTAATACGACATATCTATTAATGAAAGTATTATTGATTATAATTTCAGCTTAGAGCGACACCGAAGGGAATGAAAGATATTACTCAATGGCTCTTATCGTAGGATTATAAGTCTTTAAACAACAGCGAAGAAAAATAGTGACTCATGCCGATGGTGTTGTTGTTCAGCGGCAAATTTTTACCAATAATATCCTACATTATGCACGGTGTCAGGGTGGGCGCTACGAAAGGGTCTAGGAGTCAACTCCCCTTGATTTTCAGGAATGTAAACAGCAATACCTCCTCTTAACGTTGCAATGTATACAAGGCACGGGTGCAGGAGTTTTCTGTTAGGAACTCATACAAACTAAAAACTGTAGCGTTTTTAGCAATCCTGTCGATAGTCTAAAGTCTAGTGTTGTTCATGATTGTAAATCTGTTTCGAGGAGTATGCGAAATTTTGTTAGACTTTATTGGGTTCCAGGTTATAGTAACATAAAGATAATTTAAATAACTGATGAGCTTACTCGATGTGGATCGCAGTCAATTAATGACACGGTTAGACCCCCTTAGCTACTTTTTTATGACGAGAAAGTCATAAGAACATAGACAACCATTGGGATCATAACAGGTCACTGCAGAATCAGATCTCCTTTTTCAAAATGGGAGTAAATTGAGGTGGAGGATGAAGAGGAAACAGAAACAATCATTTTTTGGTAGATTCGTGATAGAAATGCTTACTTTTTTCTGCGAAATATACCCCAAAATCATTTACAATTTTGCTAGAAAATTTACATGTTGAGCAAACAATAATTAACCTTACTAATACCTTCTATGTACCTAAACTATTATAGAAGGGCACAGAAGCAGAGACAGGAACTATCGAATATCTACTCTCTATATGACCAATGCTTTGTAGCAAGATACATCTACTGTTTGGTAAACATGAGAGATAGACACTTTTCATTTAATAAAATGTATAAGCTCTTTTTTAAGATTCAATCATTAAATAGTATGGTGTAGGGTATACATATACTTCTTTTGTATAACCTTCTTTCTAGGGACAGTCATTAATGAAACTTGAAATTAAGACATTAAAAAGCCGTCATAATATTGTCTATGCACTGTTTTTGTATGACTTCTTAAGACGGATATTACTTCGTATTTTTATTATAAAAATAACAAATGTCTCATTTTGTTTGCATACTACCAATGATCCTGATGTATAATGTAGCCAAATCTCTAATGTATAAGCAAAGTAATCAGCTTGAAAACAGGAACGCTACACATTTGTGAATTATTCCTTTGTAAATTATTTACATTTTGTACTATGTATATAAAAATTACCAAATAGAGCCATATGTATTCTTAAGGACACACAATTAACAATTTCCCAAATAATTGAAGCTGACTTTCGTAACAAGTATAAATTAATTTACAAATAAAAAATAATTTTTTATATCCCCACTTATTTTCCTGTGGATATCTATGTATAGATTTGTATATAAGATGTCTTGTAACTGTACCTTTCTTTTCACTATGGGAATCATACAATGCACCCCAAATAATAGAGCCATTTGACGCATACATACACACCATCAGCACCGTGTCGTGTATGATATATGCATACGTATACACAGTAGTTATGTATACGAGTTTTTGCCAGACATCAGATGCCCGTCTGCCCATTATTTACCCATTTGGGAACACAATAAATTGTCGGTCGACAGAGGCAAAAACGAGTTGTCGCCAAACTTGCCTAAAAGCAGCAATGCAACGTGCAAAAAAAATCAGCTGCTTTGCCATGTGTTTCGCTCGCGGAACCAGCATAACCGGTGACTCAGCAGTGAGAGCAGCATAATATATTAAATCGAAGCAAACTCATGCGAAATATACCGACATGTTTTATTGATTCGGTACATTCGTCATATGTTTCTATGTGATTTCTTCCTTCGAAGCAGGGCACTCCAATAGATGGATCATCTGAGATGAAACAAAAATTCGAGTGCAGGAAGTTTGAGAAATATGACTGCTCAAGGGCAAAATGGCGATGAAAATAAAAAAACAAACCAATTTTAATTGTTCTCAAATCAGCAGCTCCAGTATTTTAATTTACAATTAAAAAACAATCACAGTGATAGTTGAAATTTTTTGTTTTTTATGTTAGTTTTTATGTTATAAATTTGAAAGTAAATAAACATAGTGCTTCTGAGATGGTTTTAATTCTCCTTATGCATCACAACGCTCCAAAGAAATTTTAAAGTCAATTGAATCACTCCAATGTACGGGGAGTGGGCCTCCAGATGAGTTTGCTTGGGCATAGCGGAAGAAAAATTGATGCAGCATATTGAGATGGTTCACAGCGATTCTCTTTTTTTTTTGTTAATTTTATTCAGTATTTAATTTCATTCAATCCATCCACTTTTTATTCTCGTATCACATTGGGACACTTTTTATATCCAAAGTAGAGTACAATTTACTTTGAAGAGAGATTGTCTGCACTACAGTGCAGTTGGTTAGATCATACATAGATATATAGGTATACTTGATTGGCTGCATCTGCAGCTTGGAATAATTCAAGAGATATTACGGGATTTGGGGATAAATGGGATTAATAATTTTTAAAACATTTTTCAGATTGGGTACGGTGACAGGAAAGTTGAAGGAAATGAATGGGGTCAATCGGCAGTGATGGAGATTGACCGCTTTCTAGTTACGGCTCCCTTTTTCCTCGCACTCACGTCTCAGATGACCGCTTTTGCCGCAGCCGTAGCATGTCTTTGCCGTGTCTGGACAGTTTTTGGAGATGTGACCAGTGCGGTTGCACTTGTAGCATGAAATATTACTGGAACCGCGATCGTTGGACGCCTCGGGGCAATTACGCGCCCAGTGACCAACTTTGTTACAGTTGAAACACGTTGGATTGTCGGGTTGAGCACAGTCCTTGGATATGTGGCCGATGCCGTTGCAACGATAACAACGCTCAGATTCCTCGGGGCAGGAACGGGCAAAGTGTCCGAATTGGTTGCATTTGAAGCATTTTTCACGGTTATTTCCGCGTCTCATATCACGGCCGCCGCCACCACCTCCTCCGGAATTACAGTCGCGGGCAAAATGGCCCGGACGATTACACTTGTAGCACGTGGATGAAGCCATAGACATTCTGATGTGTTATGTATATGTCTTACCAGCTAAACGGACTCAGCAACGATCCAAACGATAAATCAACTAAATGCAAGGCGGACTCGGAGTGAAAATGTCTTTCACTTCACCAACTCCACGCACACTACAAACGACGAAATGGCTTGTTCGTCCAACAGTGCCTCCTTCTTACATCGAATAATGCCAACAATGCCCACCACCAGTGCTGCCAAATTTGATCAGCCGGTCGCAAGCCGGAAAATGAAATGCATACACTAAACCTGAAACGCCAGTATAAAACACAACGTAAAACGTAATACTTTTTAAACAACAGACACATGACGCCTAAGCGTGGTTTTATATTTGTCGGGATCGGGATCGGTGTTGAGAGTTTCTCTCTCTTGAGAGAGTAATTAGAGTTGCGCTATTTTTAATTTTGTAACAAGCGTACTTTTTGTTCACAAAAGGTACGAATTGACATAAACGTACCAAAACAAAAATTTGATTTTTTTATTATTCGTGAATACATTTACGCTTAAATTATAACATATGTTATTTATGCAAATAACTGGTATAAATATTGGCCAATATCTCTCGATAATTATGATTTATTATCATTTGAAGTAGAATTTTAGGTACCTTTTCGTACTTTTTTGTTCCTACCTGTGGTAAGGTTTTCCAACACAATTCACAATTTACCACTGTGAGAGAGAGAAACTCTCAACACCGATCCCGATCCCGACAAATATAAAACCACGCTAAGCAGTGTACACACAGTACACAGTGTACACACTATCACCTTTGAATGACACTCTTGTCCAAATATTGTTTTGTTTGATAGCGTGGCCTATCAGACAACCATGAAAATATTCATGGTTGTTGGACAGTCAGTATTTGAAAGAGAAAGCTGAAAGTTTAATAAATATCAATAAAAGCATAAATTTGCGGGTTACACATGACTTTCAAGCGTTTTAAAAAAAATTGTTTTTGCAAAATATATTTATACATATAAAAGAGCTTAGTGTTAAGTGAGTGAGTGACTGACAGATCATCGCCCAGACGAAACGGCTAAAGCTAGAAGCTTGGGTTTTTGGAAATTCGAACTAGAAGGGTACGAAAAGTACTAAAATGTACCAAAAATGGTACCCTTTGTATTAGGCGAACGGGAAGAGCTAGAATTCTGAAATTTGGAATGTGGGTCACTGATGTAAAGTTAGGAAGATGCACAAAAGCGTTTTTGGAAATTCGTACTAGATCGGTACGAAAAGTACTAAAAAGTACTAAATGTGATACCATTTGTATTTGGCGAACCGGTAGAGATAGAACTCTGAAATTTGGATTGGTGGTCGCTGAGTGTAGGATAGATGTACCAACGGGTTTATGTAAATTCGAACTATAAATATCCGAAAAGTACTAAAATGTACTTAATTTTGTACAATTTCGTAGCATGTGAATTGAGAGAGCTAAAAACTTGAAATTTGGAATGCGAATTAGGGATGAGATGTAGAGTCCATTTAAGGAGATGGGTTTGAAAGCGTGTACTCATGTGTACGAAAAGTACTATATGATACTATATTTGGTACAAATTAAATTTGGAGATACAAATCGAGCTGGGATCCTGAAATTTGAAAATAACATTACTGTCGGAGTGTAGGATTGGGAATGTATGTAGTTTTGGAATTTTTTTACCCAGTTTCAGTAATTTATATTCATGGGTACTAAGTGGTACTAAATTTGGTACAATTTGAATTTTATGCGAACCAATAGAGCTAGAATCATGATTTAGGATCACTCTGGAGGTGAAAGTTTAGGTTAAGGGGGACGTTTTGGAAATTCGTACTACTGTGTACTAAATTTGGTACAATTTGAATTGTGAGTGAACCGAAAGAGTTGTAATCCTGAAACTTGGATTTAGGATCTCTGTTTGGGGTAAGTAAGAAGTTTTCGAAATTCGTACTACTGTGTACTAAATATCGTACAATTTGAACTGTAGGTGAACCGATAGAGTTGGAATCCTGAAACTTGGATTTAGGATCACTGTGGGGGTGTAGGATTGGGGTATTTAGGAAGTTTTGGAGGTTACATATGTACCTATTAGTTAAAATTTATAAGAAACCAAAAATTATAAAATACAAAAATTTATAAGGCTTGAAAGCAAAAAGTGTTCAAAGGTGCCCCCTCTCCCCTACTACTATGTACTAAATTTGGTACAATTTGAATTGTGGGTGAACAGATAGAGCTGGAATCCTGAAACTTTGAGTTATGATCACCGTGGTGGTGTAGGATTGGGGTATGTAGGAAGTTTTGGTAATTCGTACTACAGTGTACTAAATTTGGTACAAATTGAATTGTGGATGAACCGATAGAGTTGGAATCCTGAAACTTGGATTTAGGATCACTGTGGGCGTGTAGGATTGGGGTATGTAGGAAGTTTTGGAAATTCATACTACTGTGTACTAAATTTGGTACAATTTGAATTGAGGGTGAACCGATAGAGTTGGAATCCTGAAACTTGGATTTAGGATCACTGTGAGGGTGTAGGATTGGGGTCTGTAGGAAGTTTTGGAAATTCGTACTACAGTGTACTAAATTTGGTACAAATTGAATTGTGAGTGAACCGATAGAGTTGTAATCCTGAAACTTGGATTTAGGGTCACTGTGAGGTTGTAGGGTTAGGGTAAGTTGGAGGTTTTGGAAATTCGAACTACTGTGTACTAAATTTGGTACAATTTGAATTGTGAGTGAACCGATAGAGTTATAATCCTGAAACTTGGATTTAGGGTCACGTTTTGGAAATTCGAACTACTGTGTACTAAATTTGGTACAATTTGAATTGTGAGTGAACCGATAGAGTTATAATCCTGAAACTTGGATTTAGGGTCACTGTGGGGTGTAGGTTTGGGTTAAGTAGGAAGTTTTGGAAATTCGTACTACAGTGTACTAAATTTGGTACAAATTGAATTGTGGGTAAACCGATAGAGTTGGAATTCTGAAACTTGGATTTAGGATAACTGTGGGGGTGTGGGTTTAGTAAGAAGTATTGGAAATTCGTACTACTTTGTAATAAATGTGGTACATTTAAATTTGAATTTGGAATCATTATGGGGGTGTAGGCTCGGGGTATGCAGGAAGTTTTGTTGGAAGTAGAAGGGTACGAAAAGTACTAAAATGTACCAAATATGGTACCCTTTTTATTAGCGAACGGGAAGAGCTAGAATTCTGAAATTTGGAATGTTGGTCACTGATGGAAAGTTAGAAAGATGTGCAAAAGGGTTTTTGAAATTCGACCTATAAGTGTACTAAAGGTACTAAACTTTACTTAATTTGGTTCCTATTGTATATATATTGAACATATATAGCTGGAATCTTGACATTTTAAATGGAATACAGGTTGGGAAGTGGTGTTGATGTACGGAAATGGTTTAAGACCATTATGTGTATAAAAAGTGTAAAATGGTACTAAACTCCGTACTATTTACCTTCAGTTGAGTGTATGTATGGTACTAAATTTAGTACAATTTGGATGTTCCTAATGTGTACTGAAAACCTGAAATTTGGAATTAAGATTTCTGTTGAAGATTGAGCTATAGAGACATCTTTGGAAACTCGTATTTATGTGTACGAAAAGTACAGACAGTGTTGGAAATTCGAACTCATGAGTACGAAAAGTACTAAATATGGTACAATTTGGATCTATGTGAAGAAATAGTGCTGTTATCCTGAAATTAATGAATAAAATTACTGTTTCAGTGGGAAATTGAGGCAGTTTTAGAAACTCATACTTACGTCTATGAAAAGTAATAAATGGTACAGTTTGGATGTTGGTGAATGAATAGAGCTGGAATCTTTAAATGTGGACCTAAGGTTGTTATTGGAGTGCATGACTGAGGTATTTTTGGAAATTTGTACTTTGGGTACGACAACCAAAAAAATTGGTACAATTTGGACTTTGGTGAACGGGTAGAATCCTGAAAGTTACATCTTAGGTTACTCTGGGAGCGTAGGAAAAGTACAGAATGGTACCAAATATGGTACAGTTTACTGAACAGATAGAGCTGAAATTCTTAAATTTGGACTTACGATTGAAAGCAGGTTTGGAATATTGAGATTGGTTTGGTATATGGGTACTAAAAGTGCGGAATGGTTTCACAAAGAGATGAAATTCTTAAATTTGGTTTCAAATAGTCCAAATTTAAGAATTTAAGAAAGAAATTTAAGAAGGATTGAGGTACATTTGGAAATTTGTACTAATGAGTACAAAAATCACTAAATCACTAGAAAAAAAAAATCACTAGAGTGTAGGATTGATGTAGTTTTAGAAATTCTTACCTATGAGTATGATAATTACTAAATGGTACTAAATTTGAAACAATTTAGATTTGGTTGAATCTTGAGATTTGGAACTTAGATTACTGTTGAAGTGTAGTATTGAGCTATGGAGACAACTTTGGAAACTCGAATTTATGTGTACCAATAGTAAATAGAATAGACAATTCCCTAAATTTGAAATAATTTGAATTTGGGTAACGGAGAGAGCTGGAAACCTAAAATTTAGAATTTAGATGAAAAGTTCTAAATGGAATTACATGTGGAACCTGTACGTTTTTGCTAAAGTGTGTATTTCGGAAAATAGTGCTTATGTGTATGAAGAGTACTTAATGGTAATAAACTTGATATTAAATTTAGGAATAGAGGTGGAATTCAGAACTATAGTACAACTAATTATACGGTATTCACGATTTCCATATGAAATATTTTTTTATTCCCTTTCCGCATACGAAGTAGCGGGTATTTTGCTAGTTATCATATATTTTATAAATTTTTTAAGGGGGAAACACATAGAAGGATTCAGGACTGGCATGTTAAGAATTCTTCGGAAAATATATATAAACATTAGGCAGATCACCTAAACATACTGCTGTATTATGGCACAATTTAAAATTCATATCATATTTTTTTGGTACGTTTTGGGACAAATCTAGAAGAACTTCATTGAAAAAAAAAATTCAATGAAAAAAAGATTTATATATAACATTTAATCATTATATAAATAGCTTTGAAATTTTGAAAATACATTGTTATTACTCCTAGAATGTTATGTATTGAAATTTGGCTCTAGTATGAACAATAATTTATTCTAGTTCATCCGATACTTATGTAGGTCCAGATTAACATGTTAC